GAAAGGCTTCGCGTCTTTATGCGCCTTCAAGATACAAGAGCGATGAGTGAGGAAAAAAATAATGTCAAGCATGGAAAAGAATTAATAAAAACAAAAAAAACAACGTCGGCTGCATGGAAAAACACAATGTAAACACATTCACGATAAATGGCAAATTCGGCTTCTCAAACGTCTAAGACAGATGTGTCAACACTAGGCGACCCGGATGTGTGTGGGGCGACCCAGACTGGATAGCCAAAGTTGGTGACCCTGGACGCGGACTTTCCCTTCCCCCGTGAGCCCTCCGGGAACTTCAACCGTGAAAATTGCGCGAAAAGGAACGCGAATCGACAACAACACGAGGCACCTAGGCCGAGGCCCCGCGCGCCTAAAACATGCCCGTGAAGTCTACCTGATATAATTGGACGTTTATTGCTCATGGTCTTCGTTGGATTGAGGAACGAAGTCGACTTGACATGAGGGTGCACATGCAACTCTTCACTTTCAGCACTTTTCACAGGACTAGCGCATGAAAAAAGGGAACGGGGTACTTACTCAGGAGGAAACGTGGTCCGCATCTCCAACGCCTCTCTATACATATTAATTTTTCTCCTTCTTTTGTGTTCAAAAGTCATGGAAGAACACCTTCGGAAACTTTCTCTCTCGGCCTCTGGCGCTCGGGACGGCAATATCCTCGCAAATGAGAGTGGTAATGCCCTTTTGCATCAAGACGAGTATGTTCACGAAGCAAACCAAATGAAGGAGTCAGTGGAACAGGATGCCCTCTTTCGATCACGTTTTCTTTCATCCCGACACTCTTTTACTCATGCTTCGGCGGCGAATGAGGGACTGGGCGATGAGTCTTCGATGCAGATCGACATTAACGCCGTTCGAAGGAATCTTGGCCCTGGGGAAGTCAGCAAAGCTAAGAATGACGGCTTCAATCCTCCTCCCCAACCTCAAGTCCTACAAGATCGTGGACGGGGCATCAGTGTCAGTAACGCGGAATTGGAACCGAAAATCCGCGGAGGGCCCGATGGAAGCAGCGTAACTCGCGGCACTGCTCCTTTACCTGGAGGAGCGGAAGAACGCTACAGCGTACGCGACCTTTTCCCCGACTTTCCCGAGCAATTCGTGCCCGAGATGCAGGACTATCAACGGGTTGTGATTTTGAACACGTCTGAGCCCGTCGACAGCGACACCATGACCGCCTGCCGCCAGCTGCGGAAGGCCATGAATCTTCGGAGCAAGTGGATGGGGGAACCCTTGGATCCCGAGGCCCCATCTGGCGAGCCACACGCGCAAACCAGTACCTTGGACAGTGTCGGTGCCATGAGCTACCCTGAGTCGCCACTGTATGCCTCGACCACGCCCCCGACATTTTCAGCCACCCATCTGACGGAGGGGAACGACCCCAAAATGCCTTTTCCACCCCATCAAAGGTCTCCCGACTCTCCCCGCACGTCGGCATACAAGCGGATGAAACGGCGGCAAGCCCCTCCGTACGACCCGTTCTCCTTCGAGCCACCGGGTCCATCGTCGCACCACGTGAAACTTGTGGAGGGCGTTTACCGCGTATGGGCCGGCAAGGAGGGCGAAGGCGGAGAGATCGTGAGCCGGGTACTGGGGGTGGACGAGTTTTACGAGGACTTCCACGAGCTGACGCACCTGCTGACCAGCGGGCCGGTCAAGACTTATTCTTTCAAGCGCCTGCAGGTGTTGGAGGCTCGTTTTCACTTGCACAAGCTCTTGAACAGCGATCGGGAGCTGGCGGCGCAGAAATCTGTGCCTCACCGGGACTTCTACAACATCCGGAAGGTGGACACGCACGTGCACCACTCTGCCTGCATGCACCTGAAACACCTGCTACGTTTCATCAAACACAAGCTCAAAACGGCCGGTGGTGAAATTGTGGCGTTTCGGGACGGCCAGTTTTTGACGCTCAAGGAGGTGTTCCAGTCCCTGAAAATCACGGCCATGGACCTGTCGGTGGACACCCTGGATATGCACGCGAACAACACCTTTCATCGCTTCGATCGCTTCAACCTGAAGTACAACCCTGCAGGACAGAGTCGACTGCGGGAGATTTTTTTAAAGACGGACAATCTGATTGCCGGTGCCTATTTAGCCGAAGTGACTCAACAAGTCATCTCCGACTTAGACGCCAGCAAGTATCAGCTTGTGGAATGGCGTGTGTCTATTTACGGTCGGAAGCCCAGCGAGTGGGACAAGCTGGCGCGCTGGTTCTACACGCACCGGCTCGCGTCGGACAAAGTGCGGTGGCTGATCCAGATCCCGCGCTTGTACGCCGTCTACAAGGCCTCCGGCCAGCTCGAGGACTTCGAGCAACTACTACGCAACATCTTCGCACCTTTGTTCGAGGTAACTCGAGACCCAAAGAGCAACCCGCCTTTGGCCATATTTCTGAACACGATTGTGGGCTTCGACTGTGTGGACGACGAGAGCAAGCCCGAGATCCACGCGAACCAGGGA